CCACTCTCTCCGTGACTCCCTTGTCCGCTCCACACTCCCCTCCAGCCCCACCACACCCGGCACTTTTCCCTGCAACCGCAGGAAGTGCTACACCTGCCCCCACACCTCCTCCCTCACCCCCATCCAAGGCCCCAAGAAGACTTTCCACATCAAACAGATGTTCACCTGCACATCTGCTAATGTGGTATACTGCATCCGCTGTTCCCGTTGTGGCCTCCTCTACATCGGGGAAACCAAGCAGAGGCTTAGGGACTGCTTTGCAGAACACCTACGCTCAGTTCGCAATAAACAACTGCACCTCCCAGTCGCGAACCATTTCCACTCCCCCTCCCATTCCTCAGATGACATGTCCATCCTGGGCCTCAGGATGCCACAACGATGCCACTCGAGGGTTGCAGGAACAGCAACTCATATTCCGCTTGGGAACCCTGCAGCCCAATGGTATCAATGTGGATTTCACAAGTTTCAAAATCTCCCCTCCCCCTACCGCATCCCAAAACCAGTCCAGCTCGTCCCCGCCTCCCTAACCTGCTCTTCCACCCACCTATCCCCTCCTCCCACCTCAAGCCGCACCCCCATTTCCTACCTACTAACCTCATCCCGCCCCCTTGGACTGACCTATCTCCTCCCTACCTCCCCACCTGCACTCACCTTTACTGGCCCCATCCCCGTCTCTTTGACCTGTCTGTTTCCTCTCCACCTATCCTCTCCTCTATCCATCTTCTATCCACCTCCCCTTCTCTCCCTATTTATTTCAGAATCCCCTTCCCCTCCCCCATTTCTGAAGAAGGATCTAGGCCCGAAACGTCAGCCTCTCTGCTCCTATGATGCTGCTTGGCCTGCTGTGTTCATCCAGCTCTACACTTGGTTATATCAAAAGAACACGGTTGTTTTCTTTAAAGAAAAACAGACATCAAATAGAGTCTACTGCAAAACTGATCTCACTTTGTCCAGAGCGAAGTATGTGTCGACCTTTTTTTTACATCCTGCCTGAACTTCAAATGGACCAGCTCCTACCCCATCTCACCCCTCCCCCCATCCCACACCCCACCAAGACAATAATGATCTGTTCTGAGATGATGACTCCCATTACCTGTGGCTGCAAGCACATTTCACAGCTCAGCGTTCAACACTGGAGCAGGAAGTACTGACACGGACTGGCCGAAGAATAGTGGTCTATTCAACACGAGTCAAAGGAACTGAGGGATCAGAACACTCTGCCCCACATTTTACTCCATTATTGTAATCATCTTGTATGTTAGCCTTTAAAGTATTTCATGGGATGATAAGCTTGGAGATAAATCTTGAGGGAAGAAACAGGCAGAATAAGGCAATCCAGGGATCAGGTGGGACGACATAGAAAGTGAGTTGTGACCTTATGGAATCGTAGATCCACTTGGACTGAATAAACCGGAAAAGAAAATGAGAAAACCTGAAAATAAACCTGAAAGCAAAATGAAGTGAGAGCAATATGCATAAAAATTCAGGAGATTGATCAAAATTAAGAGGGTCTCTGTTGAAAGGAGGGTTAGACTGGACAGTAAGGGGTCAGTAATGTCTGGTTGATTGCTTGGGAGAAGACAGGTCCTGGCCTAAATGAGATGCTTTCTTGTTTACTATAATAAACATTAGGATCATTCTCTCAAGAGGTTTCCACTGCAAGTCTCTCTGTCGCCACTGAAACCAACCAGCAGTTCATCGTGATTATCCACAACTGCATTCTGCCAGGCAATTTTGAACTTAGTAGCTATTAGTTGAAGTTATTTTAGGAGTGTAACGTCACAGGTCATAAGCAGCTAGCCACAAAAGGCAGGAGCAAAGCTCCACACACTCTTGATGATACATCTAACATTTCCCATGTTTCCATCAACAAAGATCTCATTTCAACCAGAATCCAAACAATTGGCCTGACATTGCCAGCCCATAGTCTTGCAAATTAATCCTCCTTTCATCAGTGACCCTCTTAATTCAGAACAATCCCCTGAATTTTTATCCACTTTGCTCTCATTGCATCTAGGAGTTGGCACAGCATGTTACAGTTGTACAGGACGTTGGTGAGGCCACTTCTGGAGTACTGTGTACAGTTCTGGTCACCCTACTATAGGAAGGATATTATTAAATTGGAGAGGGTTCAGAAAAGGTCTACAAGGATGTTGCTGGGGCTGGAGAGTTTGAGCTCCAGGGAGAGACTGAATAGGTTGAGACTTTTTCACTTGAGCGTAGGAGGTTGAGGGGTGACCTTACAGAGGTTTATAAAATCATGAGGGGCGTGGATAAGGTGAGTAATAAAAAGGTCTTTTCCCAAGGGTGGGGAAGTTCAAAACTAGAGGGCATATTTTTAACATGAGAGGAGAAACATTTAAAAAAGGGACCTGAAGGGCAATTTTTTCACACAGAGGGTGGTTCATATGTGGAATGAACTGCCAGAGGAAGTGGTAAATGCAGGTACAGTTACATTTAAAAGACACTTGGACAGATTCATGAATAGGAAAGGTTTACAGGGATGTAGGGCAAACGGAGGCAAGTGGGACTAGTTTTAGTTTGAGAAACATGTCAGCGTGGACATGTTGGACCGAAGAGTCTGTTTCGTGCTGTAAGACTATGTCTCAGTTTTCAGGATTGTTTTTAATCGAATGGACAAAACAAACGATACATCAAGATTCAAAACAGCTCCTAAATTTCCATCCAATATGGCTGCCCCTTTTAGCTTTTGACCATAAAAGCTAAGAGCAGTTGTTGGCCATTCATTCCTTCAAGCCAGATTTGCTGTTCCATAAAATCCCAGCTGATTTTTTAACCTCAATTCCATTTTCTACCTGATCCCAGGATAACCCTATTCTGTCGTTTTATGACTCTCTCATAAACTTTAGTTCAGACAATATGAACATGGAATGCTGGTGCGAGAGATAGCTGTAGTAATGGAATGCAAGGCTAGGCAGAATGTTCTGACAGATGCTCCATCCAAATGCCTCCCTCATGATTTTGATGTTGACTTGCAGCCTATTCTTCTCTCCCCCATTCATATCTCTCTGGCACCTATACAGCCCACATTTTTCACATTCCTGATATCAAAAAGATCCCGGCACTTCTTTTCACTGTGTCAATGCCTCTTTCCCAGATCAAAGAGGAAGGAGAGTTAAATATGTAATCTGATCAAAATGGGGGAAATCCAGTTTGTCAACACCTTCAAGGAGTTTCAGGGGTTTTTAAAGTAGGTGCTAGCTGATGCAACAAGGTGAGGTCCAGGCTTTGTCTTTAATTAAACCTTAGGCCTCATCTCCACATCGCAAACAAGCAGCAGGCACTGAGCAAGCTGAGCACTGCAGCTCACCAATTCGGACCATAGCTAGTAAAACCAGCACTTTTTTGCCATCTTGAGTAGGTAGTACTGAGCCATCTTCTTGAACTGTTGCAGTCAGTGTGGTGTCTATACTTCTACCGTGCTTTTAGGATGGGAGGTCTAGGATTGTGACACAACAAAGGAACACCAATATATTTCCAAACCAGATGGTAAGTGACTTGAATAAACACTTGTAGATGGTATTGCCATGTGCCTGCTGTCCTTACCCACCTGGGTCATAAAGGTCAGGGATTTGGAAGATGCTCTTGAGGGACCCTTGTTGAGTTATCACATGATAAACACTGTTGCCACTGAACATAGGTGATGGAGGAAGTGATTGATTAAGGTGGTGGCTGGGGTGCAAATCAAATGGGCTGATTTGACCCGGATGATGGTAAGACCTGCTCGACCAATAAAGAGCTGCTTGTATTAGAATCGTGTCAGAGAAACAAGTAAGTCTAAGGTGGGCAGGAAGATGTTGGAGTAGAGGTGGGATGGAATGGTAAATAAGTGGAGTCAAGTACAGGTAACAGTAGGCTGCATTGGAAACAACACTACTTCGACTTCCTGTTTCTACGTTGGAGCAAGAGAAAACACATCTCTTCTCTGGGTGGCTTGCAGCGCCATCTTTAAGGACAACTAGTTGGACTACTATTTACATAGAACCATTGAGCTAAGTGCACTAAATTTGTTGTTCGAGTCCTGGAAGCAGGCACTAGGCCCCTGATTAAACCAAGGGACTTAATGCCTCTATGAGCAGGGCACCATTGGTGACCTCAACCTGCCTGATACAAAATGTATCACTGAACTTCAAAAGCAGATCAGGCAAGGCTGGTGACAAGATAATTTTAGTACAACTTTCCCTTATGTCAAACCCAACAAGCAGGCATCTCATGATTAATTTTTTTCAGAGACAGACTTGTGCAAGTTTACTGAGGGAAAACTGCCAAGCTGATCAATTCTTGAATTGGAGAACGATTGACATCGTCCGAGAGACAACAGCATGTCATCATTACCAAACTCAGAAGGACTGCTAGATTTTTCCACCTTGTGGTCTAACGTTTGATCTTCTGAATTTTGCTTATGCTGTCTGTATTATTTTTTGTTCAGAACATAAATTTGATTTTGTCCATTTTAAAATTGTGATTAATTGTATGTATTTGGGGGTTTTGAATAGATATAGTTGAAGTTGTGTGAGTAAGTTAGTAATCCTTTCTTTTTCTCACTCTTAGAGTCATATAGCATGGAAATGGACAGTTTGGTCCAACCAGTCCATGCCAAACACAATCCCAAACTAAAACTAGTCCCCTTCTTGTTAAAGTTAATTGTGTTATTCTAAATAGAGATCTTCTCTGTTAGTGACACAACCTAATGCGTATAGCCTTGTCCTGAACAGAAAATTAATCAGGCAAATCATCCATTTGGTGGTTTCATTGGGAATTTTTACATTTATACATTGAGATGATTAAGTCACAATATAATGAGCAAATCCCTCCAGCAACCACATTTCAATACCATATTTTAAATACAGGATGAGATTAACCTGAGATTTAGCAAAGATGTATACATTGATAATACATGTACAAGATCTTTTCTCAGCAAATAAAGATGAGAATTGTGATGTACCTACATTCTACTCTCTACAACTAAATACACTCACCGATAGTATCGATGCTGGCATGTAGCAATTCATTCAATGTGGCAGCCTTTCCTATGTTAATTGATCCCATGGTCCTTTTGGGCTTATCAAAGGGTGTGGGTCATTTGCATTTTCCAGAACAGCATCTCAACTTGCAAGCAGCTCTCATTGGTACACAGGTGAGGCCTGGTCTCAGAACCACTTAGTGCCCAACTGGGAAAAGAAAACACACAAACTGTAAAACATTATTTTGCCAACACAATACTCAAGTGTTATTTCAAGTTCTATTCTTTGAAGGCCCTCCATCATTGTGCACCTTATATTTTAAAGGAAGCCCAAGAAGAGGTATACGTGTAGACATCCTAGTATTAAAAGTCCTCAAATCCCTCAAAGGCTTTGCCTCTGTCTATTTCTGTAATCTGTTCCAATACTACAAACCTGTAAGATATTTGTACTCATTTAACTCTGGCCTCTTTTACATCCCTAATTATAACTGTACAAACAGTGGGGGCCATGACTTCTATTGCCAAGGCCCAAAGCTCTAGAAATCTCTCCCTGCTCCTCTCAATCTCTATTGTACTTTCTTCTCCTAAATCACTTCTTAAAATCTACCTGTGTGACCAATAAGCTTTTGGACATCAGATGTAATACTCCCTGACTTAACCTGGTGTCATTCTTTGATTTAGAATGCCTCTTAAGTGCCTTCGGTTACATTCTGGTAAAGACATCATGAAAATAAAAGTTGGTTTTGCTGTTCCTAACTCCGCCTCTAAAGGTTTTGGAGTAGATTTGTAGCTCGGGTTGTGGGTTTGAGGTTGGTTGGCTCGCCGAGCTGGTTTGTTGTTCCGCAGACGTTTCATTACCATGCTGGGTAACATCCTCAGTGCAGCCTCCGATGAAGTGTTGGTGTGTTTTCCCGCCTGGTTTTTAAACTCTGGAGTCTGTTGAGATGGATTGCCTCACTTCCAGGTTTCCTTCATAGTGGAATGTATATAGGGTTGAGTTTAATGTGTTTATTAATAGCATGCTTTGTGGAGTTCCAGGCTTCTAGGAATTCTCGTGCCTGTCTCTGCCTAGCTTGTCCCAGGACTTCGGTGTTGTCCCAGTCGAAATGGTGGTTCTCCTTGTCCGTGTGGATTGAGATGAGTGAGTATTGGTCGTGTCTTTTTGTAGTCAGTTGGTGTTCATGTACTCTTGTTGTTAGTTTCCTTCCTGTTTGTCCGATGTAGTGTTTCTCGCAGTCTCTGCAGGGGATCTTGTAGATGACATTGGTCCTGTCCATGGCAGGGAGTGGGTCTTTAGTTCGGGTGAGCAGTTGTCGTAGGGTTGATGTGGGCTTGTGTGCCACTCTGATGCCCAGCGGTCGTAGGAGTCTTGTGAGTTCCGACGTGTTCCTGATGTAGGGTAGTGTGATGAGTTTGTCAGGGCATGTAGTATCTTCCTGCTGTTGTATGTGTAGGCATCTTCTGACCCAGTTTTTTGGATATCCATTATCCTTGAAAACCTGGAAGAACCTAACTCCGCCTTTCATGACGTTTCTCCTTAGTGTCACCAGAAATGGAGAACAGACCATTGCAAATGCTTTATGACGGATGTCACTGAAGACCCCTGCCAGGCCTGCTGAGTTTCTCCAGCAATTTCTGGTTTTGTTTCAGATTTTCAACATACGCAATTCTATGTTATATTTTATGCCCTGGTAATTATGTCTGACTAAGTGTGGTTGTACTAATTGTTGCCATGAAATAAATATTCCTGTCATCTAATAATTGTACCTCTTCCTAGAGATACTCTACAGTAGTGCATCTGCTAATCACTAGATAGGTCTAAAACAAAGCAAATTCAAACAATATTGCTGACAGCAAGCTATCCTAAAACAGCCCTTACCCAGCAACACACACTAGAGGTGGTAAATACCACAGGGTACCAGGAGTAAATGCCTGAGAAAATACCATCTTTTGAGTCCCACTCCAAGATCTGCCCCCTCGGGAGGATGTCAAAGATTGCACAGCACTATTTTGAAGAAGAGCTATCCCTTTGTACAGGGCAACATCTGTTCCTCAAGCAATCACCACAATGAAATCAGTTATCTGGTCGCAATCACATTACTTGCTGTATATAACATTACAACAGGGATTACACTTCAAAAGTGATTCATTGATTGTAAAGCATTTTGTGGCATCCTGTGGTTGCAAAAGACATCATCTAAATACAAGTATTTGCCTCTTTGACTTTCTGGAGTGTTATTCATGAACAAATACTGAGAGACCAGGTCAATGTGTTTAGTGCCAGAGACCTCATGATAAGCTTTAGGCAAATTTCTGAAGACAGAATGTTCCGTATCATCGTATTTGGCCTTTTCTGCACAAGTCCGCTCATTCTAATTAAAAGATCTTTCTCAGAAGCATTTGTTGCACTGTAATCGCAATGGTTCACCCCAGAATTTCCCTGCAGAGATTAAATTAACAGGCAAGTCCAATCTGACAACATCGGCCTGGCACTATGTTCTTATCTTGAAACTTAATGGCCCAGATCTTCCAGTCAGCATTGAATAAGCACACTGCAACACTGTCCACAAAGATTTCCGCAACTTGACCCTTTGTGTAGGCATCCTAGGAGAAGAAGGCAGCTGAGCCTAAGGAAAGGTCGATGATGATGATAAAACACGCACCCAGGAGAACAGATGAGGAGACTGACCCGATATCCACAAGGTTTTAGAAGAATGAGAAGTGATCTCTTTGAAAGCTTCAACATTCTTTCAGGGCTCAACAAAGTAAGTGAAGGATGTAGTTTTGGGGCCAGGGCCTCAGTATTTGAAGATTGACAGTTTCCTGATTGCTGCTGGAAATGGCCGCTTTCCCAGGCAACCCACATCATTTCTCTTGCCTTCCCCAAAACAGTGTGAGCTAAGCAGAGGAGATTGAGGTCCCAACAAGCACTCAGACTGTTGAGTTTTTAAACTTTATTCCTTTATTTTTCTAGTTTATATTAAGAAGGGTTTTAATGTTAACTATTACCTTGTTTCTTTATTTTTCTACTCATTCTTTGAGGATTTGTAATGCTTATCTTTGAACTTTGTTTCTTTTACTACTTCCTACCTGAGTTTTTTGTACCTAGGTACCTTGTACCTAAGATGGCGCCATGTGTGGTGACAGACATTTTGCACTCTACTTCTGTACTTGAGTACGTGCTACAAAAAAAAACTTAAATTAAAACCTAAAAAAGAGACGATGCACCTATTAAAGTGTCACTTTCCATTCAACAACTCGAAAGGAGGACTTCCTGCTTTCCTGGGATATGGAGGAGCACGAGGCACATCATAACAATCAAGGCTATGGGCCAAGTGCTGGTAAATGGGATTTGGTTGAAGGTCAGGTGTTTCCCACATGTCAGTGCAGACTCGATGGGCTGAAGGGCCTCTTCTTCACTATACGATTTGATGATTCTATTCTATATCTCTGGAGAACAAAGTGAAGGCAGTAACAGAAGCACTGTTCCCTAGCACCCACAGGAGTATCCTTGTTCTATTCGGCAGCTAGCACCTCAAAGGGTTAAATAGCATCACAAGCTGAGTTTTGCTCATCAGGATATAAAGGACTGTGATTGGGAGGAGCTGACTAGAGTTGTGTGCGTGTTTCCTAGACAGCATATTGGTGCTTCAGTAATTGTTCTTAACCTTAATAGCAAGAAATTAAAGTTGAGTTAGGCTCTTGTGAGACCGTCATGCATCTCAACTCCTATATAATATGAACAGTTATTTTTACAATCACGACTGAGCCTATTTACTGTTGACAAGTTCTTGTGGGCATCCCTCCCCTTTCCCGGTGATACCAGGAAGGAAGATTGGGCTGGCAGGAAATCTATCTTGGGCCGGATGGTTCCAACAGAGACTTACATATACAAGAACCCCCAAGGCCAATTTCAAGGAAGACCAGACAGAAATGACTAACAGGTGGGAAACAACATCATCACCAGATCCATCAGTGTAGTAGGAGGCTCGAAGAACTCAATACTAGTAAAGGCAAGTATATCCATTCATCTCATGCACCCTTCAGCTGCTCCTCCATCACTCAAATGTTAACCTTTCCTCCACACACATGGGAATACTCAGACACCTCTCTTACTCAATCTAGAGACATATTTCATAGTGGTGATGTACTGGTAATATCAATGGGTTAGTATTGCTGAACCCCAGGCTAATATTCTGGAGACATGAGCTAAAATCTCACCATGGCAGATGATGGAATTTGAAATCAATAAAGGAAAATTCTGGAATAGAAACTAGCTTAACAGCAACCAGTATTAATTGTCATAAAAACATATCTAACTCATGCCCTTTGGGGAAGGAAATCTGCTGTCTTTAACTGGCCTGCCCCACAAGTGCCTCCGGACCAACAGCAAAGTGGTTGACTCTTAGCTCTAAGGGATGAGCAGTAAATGCTGGCCAAGCCAATAAGACCCACAATCCATGAAAGAATATAAACAAAAACACACCTTTTCCCTCCACAGCTACAGATGTGACTTTAACAGAGGGAGAGGGACATTAAAATCAGCTTTTATGTAAATGCAAACCTTTAGGACTGGATCTGTTGAACGTGTTTCAGTAGAGGCTAGTCAGTCGTCCAGGGTGTCGCAAAGATCAAGATCAACATCAAGTATTGTTCTAAGTGGGAATTAATCATCTCTGGTGAACAGATGAAGTTCAATCCCCATTTTAAACTCATGCATCCTGTCCTTTTACCTCCCCAAAGACAATGTAGGTTTTATATTGCATGTTTCTGGTACATAGCAAAACGTACAATTTGGAAAGCAGGAGAATAGAGTTGGTTGGAGCTTTTGAGTTTCACTGCAGTCTGGCTGAAGTTAGGAGATGCATTGTACTTAGAGCCTCCCACCAAAGGTGGTGCTGTACCCAATGTGACAAGTTTACATTGGCTATTTTTATCACAGATGTGGACAAAAGACTTTGTAATGGGAATACAACTGGCTCAAAAACATGATACAGTTGCAGCGTATAGAAGGTTGTATAAATAGAAATCAAGGGGAAAACAGAAAACAGCTGTAAAGCGATTCTTTCAACCAATGAGAATCATCTTCCAGTAGCAACACCCGAAAGTTAATCCACACTCCTAGCCCATTTAAAGATTCAAGAGGTACCAAACTCTTTTTAAAGGATTAGCCAACACATTCAGGGGACTGAGGCGGGGGGACAAGAA